TTGTCCCAGGACTGTGTATTCAGTGCGGACCCACAACCAAGTGCCAGTGTTTACTGTTGATTCCTAGACTCTGTCTCCTGTTTGGACTTTTTGCCTAACTTGCACTAATACCACATGACTTTAATTACTGCAGTCTAATACTAAGTCCTAATAACTGGCAGAGAACTCCTTTCTTATCATACTTCTTCAAAATAGTCATGCCTAGTTTTGAGCTTTAACTTCAAGTAGTCTAGTCCCACCAAAATATACACACGTGCATACTTTTGAATTTTGAGTATATAGCAGTTAGGAATAATTTATGGGAATAGGAATAATAATAGGAGTCTGACTCCAAAATGACAGATAACACAAAATAGCAGAAACTTAAACAAGGTAGTTTATTTCTATCTCGTACAGAAGTCCAGCAGTGGGCAGCCCAGGCTGGTGGGGCAGCGTCCTAAAGGTGTCAGCCCCCGGCTCCTTGCTGCTGCTGTAACCTCAGCACAGGACTCCACCTGATCCTCTAAGAAGGGCGAGCCCCTGCCTCTGAGGATCTTCCTGGTCGGCCCATATTCCCTTTCTGTTGATATACCATTGTCAGAACCTAGTCAATGTGGCGGGAAACTGAGAAAGGTAGCAAGTCACACATACATACACACCCAAGAAAACCAAAACTGTTTTTTTCAAAGAGGGAAAATGGATATTGGAAGTGAACCAGCAGTCTGCTAGACTGGAGTTGGCAGTGTCTGGATAGATTATAGGATTACATGTTACCAGGCTCAATTCAGGAACATGCTGAATCTTTCCATTTACTTAGAGATCTTGCAGATCTTTTGTTTGATTTTATTCTTAACTACCTTATATTTTTTATTGCTATTTATAAATAGTAATTTTTTGTACGTACATTCTCTAAATGATTTCAATAGAGGGAATGTTACTTTTTAATTATACTCTCTGGTTCTCATGCTTTGAGAGACATTTGTAAACACTCTTGGATTTTCTAGGTAGACAGTCATCATTTGAATAATGAGTTTTGTTTCCCTTTTTCTATCTTTACCTGAGATTTTTGTTTGGGTTTGGTTTTTGTTCTCATTATGCTGTAACTTGTGCTGAATGCGAGAATTGGTAATAGGCATTTTTGTCTCTTCGTGAATGGGTACTGAATTTTATCAAATTGTTTTCATACCTATTGAGATAGTGATTTTTCTCCTTCAAATTGTTAATGTGTAGATTATGTTGCTAGATTTTCTAAGATTTCTGAGTATAAATCCTAGTATAGCACATCATACTAGATAATTATTTTTTAAACATTGTTGGATTGAATTTGCTGATTTTTATTTAGGATTAGTATATCTACCCAAGAAAAATAAACTATATATTGTATAATTTTTCTTGCTCATAATGGCCTTGTCTATTTTGGAAACAATGTTATGCTAGGCTCAAAAAATTAGGTGGGAAACTCTCCTTCCTTTTCTGTACTCTACAGCAGTTTATATAAGATAAAGAGTCCTTAAAGGTTTCATACACTTCACCTGTAGGTTTTTGGGGGGCAGATTTTTAAGTACTATTTCAATTACATTAAAGTATGACATATCCAGAAAAGTACATGCTATATAATAATAGTAATCATACAAATGTACTTTTTATGTTTATTTTATTCAACATCATTTGAGAGATTCAGCCATATTGTTGCATGTCATTATAGTTCATTCATCCAAACTGCTTTATTAGATTACGGTATGTGAATACACCATAACTTACCCATTCTATAGTTGATGGGCATTTGGGTAGTTCCTATCTTTGAATAATGCTGCTGAGAACATTCCAATCCATGTCTTCTGATGAACACGTGTTTGAATTTCTTTATCCAGGAGTGGAATTGCTGAGTCTCACATGTGGCTCAGCTTAAAGTAGATGGTCCTGAGCAATTTTCAAAGATAATTACCAATGTCTGTTTTCTCTAGAATAAGTTTTAATAAGTTATACTTTTCTAGAAAGTTGTCATTCATCAAAGTTATTGGTATGAATAAAGTATTCTTGTGATTTTTTAAAAATCTGCCATTATATCCCTTGTATTATCCTTAATACTGTTTATTTGTGCTCCTTCATCTGTCTTTTCATCAAGCTTGCCAGGTTTGCCTATTTTATTTGACTTTGTAACAGCCAGCAGTGAGTTTTAGTGACTCCTTCTGTTTCTTTGTTTTCCACTTTACTGGCATTTGCTGTCAACTTTCTACTTTCTTCTTTCTCGTTTCTTTAGATTATTGTTACTTTCTCTAACTTATTAAATTAGGTATACATAACCCTTTAATTTTCAGTTTTCTTTTTTTAATTTAAGCTCAATATTTAAAATTACATGAACCACTTTATTACATCCCATAAACTTTGATAGGTAGGTGATAGTTTTGTTTTATTCATTCTGAGATATCTTCTAATTTCCATTATGAGGATTTTTTTGGTTTCCAAATGTGTGGGGTTTTTTGTTATAGTTATTATTTTGATATTGATTTCTAGTTTAACTGCATTGTGGTGAGAATATAATCTGTGTAATGTTTATGATTTGGTATTTGTGAATATTTCATATAGGATCTAGTGCACAATTACTTTGTAAATACTTTACATGTAATGGAAAAGAATGTATATTCTCTAAATATTAAATGCAAGGTATATATGTCCATTTAGAAATAAACTTGTCATTTATTTTTTATATTATTATTTTTTGGCTGGTTGATCTATCAGTTACTGAGTTATATGCTGAAAATTAAATATATGTCTGGATGCTTCCACTTCTCTTGTAATTCTATTTATTTTTGCTTTCTGTGTTTTGATGCCATTGTGTTATATATAAATATATTCATGTATTTTATTGATTTTATCCCTAATACTGCCCTTTTTTGCCTTTGAGGTCTATTTATTTGGCATGAATGTAGCAACATCAGCTTTCTTTGATTAGTGTTTCTCTGATTTTTTTCCGTCTCTTTACATCAACTTGTGTACGTGTTTATATTTTAGATTTATCTTTTGCAGGGAAGAGGTGAGAGGTGAGAGTGGCTTTTGTTTCCCTAATTTTTTTTCATAGCTGTTTTTTCTCGTAATACTTTATTCTTTTCTTTAAGGTCCTCCTGTGACGTCCTAGTCTTTTTGAAGTGTGTAGTCATTTTCAGATCCTCCTATATTCAGGTCCTTGGGGACCCAGTCCTCCTCTGTGTTGTGTGTGCCGACTTGCTCATCATTGGTGATTTCCTTGTGGATTTTGTAGTTTTAAATTCTGAGTTTTTCCCCACTGGAGCTTTAACCATAAATCCCATGTAACCCCAAGGCAAGAGAATCTCTCTCCACAGTAGTTTGACATTTGCTTTTGCTTGGCTCCTTAGGTATCTCCATCCCAAAACCAATTTTATGTAACTTTTTGATGGGTTCTGAGACCACATATGTATAGTATAACTTGAACCCCAAATTTGCCTGTGGTTCTTAATTCTCAGGCAGGACCAAGACTCCTGCTGCCTCCCGGGGGAAGACAGGCTTTTTAGTTTGATTTTTTTCATCTGTGTCGCTGAGGGTGCTGCCATTTGAAGATTGTATCTTTAGACAGATAATTGAGCTCAAAATTGCTGCCTCTTTCAGACCCAAGGCCGCATTCTGAACCCAAACAGTGATAAAACCCAGTGTGGTTCTGGGTGAGCAGGACCTGTGCTCCCCCATCTCCCAGGATGCTCACTGTGTGCGGCTCTGCTTTCCACGCCCGCTTGTTCCTGAGGCCTGGCGACTCCACTTACTTCTTTCATGTTTAGCTGTGTATAGAAATATTTATTTATTAATAGCATTTTTAGGTCTTTATAGTAGGAAGATTTTCAGATACTTAGTCTATAATTTTGTCAGGACTAAAAGACTTCTAGAAATAGAGATTTAAATTAATAAATTCAAAGATTGCCATATAGCTAGAAACATGGATTTTTTAAAAGCAGCATGTGATGCATTTTTCTTCCCATGGTGGCTTCTTTTGTTGTTGGTGACATAGACTAAGCAAGGAACAGCATTGCTGTCGGTCCTCAGGATCCGTGGAACCACCCTCAGAGAGATGGTTACTGATCCTCACTTCTCACCTTTTCCCTGTTTGTCAGATTTCCCTTCATACTCTCTAGCCTGTTGCTGAGTTTTTATCACAGCCTACAGTCTTCCTGCACTGGGCACGCTCAGGATTTACTTCAGCCATAAGAAGAAGAAAGGTAGAGGCCAGGCGCGGTGGCTCAAGCCTGTAATCCCAGCACTTTGGGAGGCCGAGACGGGCGGATCACGAGGTCAGGAGTTCGAGACCATCCTGGCTAACACGGTGAAACCCCGTCTCTACTAAAAAAAAAAATACAAAAAACTAGCCGGGCGAGGTGGTGGGCGCCTGTAGTCCCGGCTACTCGGGAGGCTGAGGCAGGAGAATGGCGTAAAAACCCGGGAGGCGGAGCTTGCAGTGAGCTGAGATCCGGCCACTGCACTCCACCCTGGGCGACATAGCGAGACTCCGTCTCAAAAAAAAAAAAAAAAAAAAAAAGAAGAAGAAGAAAGGTTGAGTGGGGAAGCATTTTAAGGGCCGTGATGGAAACACCAGATATCTGGCTGCCCTCAGTGATTTAGCCTCCTCTCCATGTCTTCCTTTCTATCGCACCCTGCAAAGCCCTGAGCTCCTAAGAGTTCACTGGAGTTGGGGCAGTCAGTGGCGTCACAGTCGGGCTGAAATTAGGAGTGTTTGTATGTGTCTTTCACTGCCTTCCAGAGCCACCGTGCACAAACAGCTTTTGCACTGCCCATTACTTTCTTTTCTCCTGAGCACCTACTGCAGGTGCCAATTTTGTGCTATTGACTGAAGGATGTTGTGATACTTTTGGATTTGAATTGCTTGCCTGGAGCAGATCAATGTGACACTACATTCCCAGTCTATAGATGTAACTGCATTGAGAGAAAGCTCTTCCAAGCATTATGATGGTTCTGCTCCTTCTGTGTCTGATAACCGTGTGTTGATCTCTTTTTAGGGAGGAATGATCAATTGGAATCGTCTTTTTCCTCCTTTACGTCAGCGACAAAATGTAAACTATCAGGGTGGTCGGCAGTCTGAGCCAGCAGCGCCCCCTCCTCTAGAAGTTTCCGAGGAACAGGTAATTCATCAGTAATAGCTGGTACTCATTCTAAATCCATGTTTCAGAGTTGAAGCAGTTTCGATCAACAGGACTTGAAAGTAATCAAGCATGTAAATACAAAGATGGTGACAGCAGTCCATCTGCCACCATGATAGAGACTTTGGGCCTTTTTTTGCTACTGTGGTTCTTACAAGTTTGAGAAAGGCATTATTGGTTGGGAGTAGGGGGTGGGAATGCATTATGGTAGCTTGTTTTAGATGCTCTTACACTTCATATATACAAGAAACTAATGAGATTGGTTCTCTATAAAGGATCAGGAACAAGGAGGTGGGAGGATGGGGAGGGAGTGTGCCTTTGGCATGGTTTCATTTTTGTATGGTTTTGAGTCGTGTTAATGTTTTACATATTCAGCAAGCAAACCAAAAGACAGGGACAAATGTAAAGCTGAAAAGAAACAAATGATCTAACTGCATTTCAAATGAATAACATAATCACATTGAATGAGGGGAAATGGTTTTCAGTAACTTTTGAACCTGATATACCCTCAGTCTAATGAAGAAACAAAAAGAACTGCAAACAAATCTTAAACATTTCTTCATAGGTTTAGTTTTCATAAGGGTATGAGTATAGCAATTCTAAAATTATGCTGTATTATAGGTTTGAGCAAATGAGGAACTAGGTTGATTTTATTGTGGAAGAAGGAAAATAAAAATATAAAGCAGGGGAAGGCAAGGGAGAACCCTGTGGGGTTGGGAAGGAATTATCACTATCATTGTAAACTCATGAGTGTGTGTGTGTGTGTGTGTGTGTGTACACATACCCTCACTCTGACTGAGAGGGCTCAGAAGCAGTGGCCTCCTGGTAGCAATGGGCTCACCTACTGCCCAGATCTGGTTTCTAAACACTCTTCCCCACTAAAAGGAACCAGGCCTCTTTAGGGAAAGGGTGGATTCCAGGCCCGGGGTAGGGAACGTACAGGATAGCCCTGGATCATTGTGTGCCAGGAAAGTAAGGAAGTGATCAGTCGCTGCTGGGGCATGTCAGAAGACACTGGAGCCAGCTGCAGGATCCTGCTGGTCACATCTGGGGCATCAGCTTTGGGGATTAAAATAAATGAAGGATAGTAAGAATTCATGCATTATAATGATATTAGTAGATAAATATTTGTATAAATACGTACACTGGAGAAAATGAAATGCTTTTCCTGAATGGAATGTCAAGTAATAAATATACAAAGAATGATAGTATTGGAAAATCACAAATTTGCAAGCATTGTAATAAAAATCCATTCAGGGAAAAATCATCAATATATGAAGACTAGGCTATTTCTATATAGATGGTCCCTGACCTATAATGGTCAAACTTTAACAATTTTTCAGTTTTATAGTGGTGCAAAAGTGATACATACTCAGTAGAAGCCATACATCAAATTTTGAGTTTTGCTCTTTTCCCAGGCTAGTGATACATGGTACGAGACTCTTTTGCGATGTTGGGCAGCGACTGTGAACCGTTCTGTTTTTCACTTGCAGCACAATACTCAATAATTACATGAGATAGTCAACACTCTAGATTTGTGAGAGTTGATTTTGCCCAACTGTAGGGTAATGTTAAGTGTTCTGAGCATGTTTAAGATAGGCTAGGTTAAGCTGTCATATTCAGTAGGTTAAGTATACTAAATGCATTTTGACTTACGATATTTTCAACTTACAGTGGATTTATTGGGACTTAACCCCATCGTAGGTTGAGGAGCACTTGTACTCTCAAAGTACCCCTCCACAAGTTACTTACTAATTATAAAGGAAAACAGTAATTCTACAGAGGAGAAATTGGACACCACCTTAACCAAGTTATCAAAATTAACATCAGCAGTTATGGAACAAAGAATTATTATGTTCATATCCTGAAAAGGACATATCAGTTATGTGTTACAATCAACATGCATAACTTTGATTGTAAAGGAAAATAAGATAAACTTAATTTGAGGGACAGTCTATAAAATACCTGGCCTATGTTCTTCAGAAATACGATGTTGCAGATTAAAGGAGACTAGGGAGTCATGCTGTCCAAATGGAAAATGTGATCCTGGACTGGATTTTATACTGGAGAAAAAATTTCTGATGAAAGGCCATTTTAGGATCAGTTTCATCAGTTGGACTATGGATTGGATATTGGTATTACATGAATTTTACATTTCCAGGACTTGGTACATACCGACGGTGGTTAGGAAAGAGAATATTCTTGTTCTTAGAAAATACACACTGACATATGCAGGGAAAAAGCACCATGATGTGTGCAACCTGCTCTCAAATGGCTGAGGCATAATGTCTGTGCATGTCAGTACATAGTGTGTGATCGTGTGTATGTGTGACAGAGACAGAAAGAGAAAGCGGCTATGGCAAAATAACAGTTGGTGAATCTGGTTCAGGAGGAATCAAGGGTTCCTGGTACTATTCTTGGAACTTTTCTAAGTTTGAAATTACTTCAAACTACAACCTTTTAAAAAGCTATAAAAGAAAGTTAAGAGTGTTGCCATCATAACACTTTGAAGTTTCCTTCTGCCCATTGTTTTTTCTTCTCAGCAAACAAAACAAACTGAGATCAGCATTTCACAGCTGACCACACCATCCAGGCCATCGCCTCCCCATTCTCTGTCCCCAGAGTGAACAAATGCCAGGCACCTGCCTCTGTGGCAAAACTTTGTCCTCACTTTTTCCAAAACTCAAAAGGTGCCCCTGGGCAGGGATCTCATAGCCACCTCTGGGTTAGGCTGTGACAGGTGTTTTCCAGAGAAACCACTGTCATGTGCCCATTGAATTGATCCAACCCCTCCCGCTTGCGGCTTCTCCACTCGGACTGATGGTTTCAGCAGCTCTTCAGGATTAACAGGGGAGTATGGAGCCACAGTTTTCCTCTTCTACGTCCACTAGAGAATTTCTAGACTAAGGTTATCCCCATGGATAAGAAAAGTCCAATAACCTGCCATGTGTAAAATCTTTCTATAACATGTTTAAAAAATAAGATACTGCTGTCAAATTCACTGAAAAGAAGTATCAAAATTCTGTTATATTACTGTTTACTTGATACAGCAGTGAGTCACATTCCTCATGGGGCAGCCGTTAAGATGAGGTATTTAAAGGTGATATATTTCTCAGTTTGGGCACTTCAGAAAAAAAAAGTGTCAAAAAGAGAGAAAAAGGAGTATGTGTGTGATTGAAGTCTTCAGGGTGGTTTTTTTTTTTTTTAATGAGTCATTTTTCCTTGATCATCCCAGAATGACAACAGCGAGGTTACATATTGTCAACATCAGTTTAAAACAGCACTTAATTTCTTCCTTGTGCTGTGTTATGAGAAGTTGTAAAAACATGAGGGGTTGTTTTTAACATACACTTTCTTATACATTGATTTTCAAAATCTTGTTTTTGATGTTTCTTGATTATCCTGCAAACAGCTGTTATAAACCATTGTTGCCTTAAAGACGCAAGGTTCTTACTGGCATTATTCATTCTGCAGGCTCTCGGTGTTTCTTGCGGTGGGTACTATAGAGATTATAAAAGATAAAAATGATACTGTTCTTGCCCTCAAGATGCTTACAAAAAAGTTTATAAATTTATATTTTATAATCTCTTGGCCAGTTTGTTTAACCGCTGTCTAAAATATTTGTTAATAACATGTTAAGATAGCTTGAATTAACAAAAGCTTTTTTTTGCTTAATTTTTCAGTTAAATGTTTGTATTTTCTTCATTTAAATATCAGAGCCATGTAATTTTAATGCATTGAGAAACTCAGTAACTTTTTAAGCCAAGAAAAATAGAAATGATTGAGTTTTTTCCTGCTGTAAACAAATACTTTAGGAATTTAGTGAGAGTTCAAGAAAACCTGGTAGACATGAAATGTATACCGTGTACTTTGAAAGCAGAAGATTCTAAGAAGAATGTGCATCCTTTAATAAATCCAATAATAGTTTGATAGCCATAGAAATCTTTTGCCACCTTTTCTACTTTTGCTATTTTTGCCATTATTAAGATTCAAGACTTTTAGTTCTTCAGAATCCACTCCCACTTTTTGGTGAGTAAACCCACGGCACCTCTGCCAATTCATCACCCCTCAGAAATGCCACCCCAGCCCCATTTAAGAATATCCCAAGAAAGAGGCTGCTGTGCAGGCAGGCGGTGCGAGGCTGGAGAGTGCCAAGCCACGCAGTGCGCCCTGTGCTGCCTGGCCTGCCAGCTAGATGGTCAGGATGGCGACAGCGACCCCCGGAAACCACAGGGCGAGATGTCTGCTCATGCCTTCCCTGTGCAGGCGTGCAGGGAGGAAGATCAGAAGAAAACCCCACAAGTTCCTACCAATTTCACAGAACTTTCCAAGTGCTCTTAGAGTTGAAAATAACATCTGGGGAAAGAGAAGTCTAAATTTGATGAAAGGACAAAGGTAGATAAAGTAGGCTGTGGGAGGAAAATGAAGGATTATGGACCAGCTAAGGGAAGCGAGGAGAAGACCCCCCTAATGCCCCCCAAAGACCACTGCCTGTCCTCTTCAGAATCCCCAGCATCAAATCCATAGACCCTGGGATTGCTTTTGGAGATGTGTAGACAAGCTGGGTGAGCTGTGGAATCAGTGACTGTGAGAAGCAGCCTTAGGACAGCAAGGTGGGGAAGCTGCTGGAGAAGGACAGGCGGTGTCACCAGCTCTGAGTCTAAAGGGAAAATGGGTGGCAAGAAGGTCCTGCCAGGGTTGTCCAGAGAAAGCTAGGCAAGAAAGAGGAGGAGGAGGAAGAAGATAAATAAAAACTGTTTGTCAACAACAATAGCAAAAATGCCAAACCAAAGGCCACTTGATAAAACTCTTTTGAGTAATCAAATGTGCTCAAATATCTGCTATCTTAGAAATAAGTATATCCAGGCCAGACATGATGGTTCATGCCTGTGATCGCAGCACTTTGAGAGGCCAAGGTGGGCGGATCACGAGGTCAGGAGATCGAGACCATCTTGGCTAACACGGTGAAATCCTGTCCCTAC